GAGCTTACACAACTAAGTGTGACCTACAGGGCAATGAAGCGCTAGGATTTATACAATATTTCTAGTCGTTGAATCAGAGCAAAACGAGTTCGTGTGCCTAGTCCGCCGCAACTGTCGCACATGCATTCGCTTGTCAAGCAGGTATCGCGGTGTTATCTTGGGCACACACACACAAGCAGCATCTGGGTGATGAGTTGGGTGACTGGCGTGAACCAAAGGAAACGAACTGTTCTGCAAAAATGTGGCAGATTCCTGAACCAGAATCAGGAACCCAATCGCCCCCCACCCCCAAATGATTCTATTGTTCTTACTTGTAACAATTGGATGACCTAAAAATGCTCGCATTAGATTACTCAGGAGACGTATGTTCGACACCAGTAAAAGAAAAGGTTTATAAGGTGTCTTTAGCACAGGATCAAGTGGTGTTTTCCATCGGTACATGGGTATGGGATGGCCATATTCGCTCAATGGTAAGTTTCAGTGATGATATCAGTTTGAAAAGGGACGATAAGATTGCTCTTTAATTTGCGTATCACAAACATTGAAAAGTAACAATAATAATGCCACAAAAGCAATCTCTGGTTTATTATTTCATGAATAAAACGAGCGACCATTTCACTTTCTAACTGAACCAATCCATCAACAATGGCGCTATGTGGTCACGTAGAGAGGAAAATCTTGGAATCAATCAGAACTCATTCTGTTAATGAGACACACCTTTCAGGGATTCGAAATAGACCGGAATCAGACTTGTCGTATGTCCAGTGCGCTATCAAAACAACAGTTGAACAACTGTGTTCCAACTGAATGATATAAAAGCACAGAAAACGCAACTCGTTCTAAAGAATAACAAGCACTTACCTCGCTGAATACGGAATTTCCTCGTGTTTTCTCTGTTGTATTCGTCTGCAACTCGAGAGCCTCCAATTGAGCACGGGTATCGGCTAGTTCAGAACGCAGTTCCTGAACGAAAATGAGAGCAATGATGTCGTGGGTAGGTAGATGTCAACAGATGATAGAACGCCAGAGCAGGCTATTTCATTTTTCCCTGTGTTGAAAACTGTTATTTGAATTGATCTTTTGTTTTACTGCATCAATTGTGTTTCTATGATTGGTCCGTGTAAGACTTTAATTTTGCCCGGCGAACAATCTGATTGGTTCAGGGTTATATATAAACGCTTGTGATTCCTTTTACAAATATGATTCGTGTCCAGTGCACTTAGGAAATATATCGAAAGCATTTCCTAAAGAACTGACTTGACACCCTGTTTTTGGAATTTCTATGAAAACTTATTTGATGTTTACTTTAATCTTAGGTCTTCACAAACATAGGAATATGCTTCAATATGCCACAATAACACATCATGTTGTGACCTTAATACCAGTCGACTTTTTTTCAAATGATCCCCTCTGCGTGCTGACAAAAGGATTAGACTATTTATTTATATTCAATATATTAGGTGCGTATAATGGCAGGTATTTAATTTCCCCAACTATTGATGAACGGAATGAATGACGACCTCCTCAAGTGAGAATCTTTGTCACAGTTACAAGCGCTATAAGAAAGCAAGACGCGATACGATGGAGAGGCAAAAAGCCTACCATTCCTTAGTTCCATTTCAATGGACTACATTTCAAAAAGTAAGAACATTAAAAGTTGGAGGACAGTGAACCGTTTTTTATTACACAGATTTGTATGGTGAACAGCAGATGAGGCGAACCCCACAGACACAAAGACCTGCTGCTCCGTCGGTGGATACCAGTATACCCCCATTGCCGTTATCAGTTTATTCAACAACCATTAACCATGCGCTTTCATGCTCCGGCTTTGGTTGCTGTCTCGTGACTACCCATTTGGATAAAGGAGTAAAGGGAAGATTGCAATTTTCAGGTCAGTGTCAGTATAAGTAGAGAATTCATGAAGGCCAAAGTTCCAAATAAATTAAGATGTACGAGTGCCATTGTTTACGAAATTCAGTCATATCACTCAGTGCCTCTATCCATCGGTGACCATGAACTCGGGGTCCCCATACAGGAAGCATTACGCGATCTATACGAGCAAGTCTCTTGATCAGGGTTTGTATATTCTCATACCAGGTTAAAGGTTGACCACATTATACTTTTTTTCATCCATCACCTATCTCAGCAAATATTGTGTTTACCGTGGCAATCCACTTGGTGGCATACGTAACATATGCCCCAATCAACACAGTCTATGATGTTCGATTACTTGCTCTAGTGGACCACCGCGAATATCTAAAACTCTGCGTCTAACCTCAGCATAGCTTGTCCGGGTTCTCCACCAGACTAAGGAAATGCGGTGAGGACAGTGGGGTTCAAACACCGACATCCAACTTTTATCCTGTTTTCTGAATGGCCAAGACTCTGTGCCACATAGGAGAAATGGTTGAACTGCTGCAGCATACACCCAACCCTACAAAGACAGCCGGATGTCGCGACCACGCCATAAATATCCTAAGTTGGCAAATACTAAGCGAGCTTCTTGCATGGATTTGGAAACTTCATCTATGATGCAGCTCACTTAGAGCGGCAGGGCTGTATCCCGGCTAAGTGAATACGGGCCGCGACTAAAGGATTGAAAGTTGCAGTCAAAGAATTGCAGGTTCGGGGTCAAGCTTGATGGGACAGACACGAAGTATTCTGTCTCAACTATCTAGAATTCAAATGAGAGTTAACAGATAGTCAACTATCCCCCTTCATTGATATCCGGCCAACTTGAACTGACTGACTACCTATGAAGATGACACCTGGACAAATATGAATTGGAAATTCGGTTCAGCCCTGACATGAGCTGGTTGGCACAGTGGTAACACATAACTTCCACGCTGTGGGTCTGGAGTTCAAATCCTGGACGGTGGAAATGCCCTACTGATGAGCTCTAATAGGAGCGAAAGTCGAGTTCGGTGTTTCCGAGTGTATGGTTGACTGGAACTGCTGAACAATGTGCATGAAGGTGAAGTCTGAAGGATGGTCAGTTCCAATCAATAACAATTATCCCACAACACTACTCATAAGTAACTGTGAGTCAAATGCGAATTCAAATTTAAAAAAACGTTGTCCTAACCGCCAGACCACGACAGCCTCAGTGTTAAATCCTTTTCTGCGGAATTAGAAGGACTGCCTTCCCATGTTAAACCTGACGACAAGTGACGCGCAAAGTCCCGGTTCCAATGCAATGAAAACCAAGACTGCCTCGTGATACGGTACTATTAATGCGAATTAATCAATGACATGATAAATAATATACAAACCTTGATTCGTGAGGTATCTGGGTTGGGACAGTCGTCAAGGCACTTCCAGATATAAGTGCATCAAATAGGAATATGACAGCGCTCGGCTGTGTCGAAATACACCTTACAATCAAGGTGCTTCAAAAGGGGACAGCTCACCGCTGTGTCAAAGAGAGAATATGATCAAACTATACGGAGTCAAACAATTAAGTCCAGTAAGGCAATGAATGACATGAAGCTCCCAAAAGATGAGCCAATCATAAGAAAGTTGGGCGCTCACAATGCGACCTCTTAACAAACGACAGGCGTGCGTGCATGCATGCGTGTGTGTGTGTGTGTGTGTGTGTGTGTACATGAACAGGTGACTCCCAAGGAGCCATCAAAACAGGTCACATGTGCGTGGGTGGTTAAATAATCGATAAATGATAAGCCGTGAACCGGTACAGAACAAGGGTAGACGGAACATAGGTCAACCGATAGTAAGGGACAATGGAGTTCATGAGAGACCTCGTGTGGTTGAAGTCATACGAGTGATCGGTGTGCGTGTGTATGCATGTCCGTTGAGGTGTCAGAGACTGGGAGAACTATGCACTCGCTTGATTATGTAAGAATTCGATAACCAGAACGGAACGAATGTCAATGGGACAATAGGAAGCTATAGAGTGCGCAATGAGTCGAAAGAACGCAAAATGATTATGAGGAGAATAATCAACACTCAGTATGGTTGGGGTGTCTTAGGTTGGAACTGATCACCCTTCTCTTGCACTTCGCAAAATGCTACTATGCGACCAAACGTCTCGAACAGCCTGTGCTGAGGAAACACTACTCGTTGGTTTCTCGTGACAGGTAAGGGGACAAAAGGCCAAGTTGGCGATCCACTAGAAGTTCGCCTATGGGAATTGACTGAGACTCCTGATTCCAAACCAGCCAGAGGAAGGAATACGAATTACGCATTCACATTTTCTGAGTTGAGACAGTGGTCAACGGCCTGATTGGCCATTAAGATGTATTTGGCACCTTGGACGTTTGAACCTGTCTAAAGGGCGAATGATCCGATGAACTGGACACCGACCTCCAATGGATTGCGACTTCCAAGCATAGCTTTGCAGCCCTGAGAGTTATGCTCTGACCATCCGAAGGCTCCAGTTGTGAATCTTCTACAAAATTAACCGGCATCGGTCGGGGCAATCTGGCTGCAGATCGATTTCTTAGTTATAGGGATCATTATACCGTGATTCGTTCGACACAGTGTGAACTCAAATATATGTGAAATGCCCTAATATAGTAGCGAAACATTTCACATTTCACCCTGCACTTGGTCTACCTACTGTACTCTCGTGATAACCGGCCACGTAAGCCTTGAGATCCAGAGCAACAAATAAAATGAATCCTCCAATAGACTAGGTATGGGCATGTAGCCGATGGACAGCAAGATTGTCGTCCATCATCAAAGTTCGTAAACAGCCCGGCATCAATGATGACGATCATGACGATGATGACGATGATGATGATAAGGTCGTAACACAGTTTTCTTTGTAGTTACTCGGAAAACCCTACACTAACCAAAGCTTGAGATGTTTCAACAAAGCCCGTGATTCTGAAGTGAGAGGGTTGACTAGTTTAGTTTAAAACGTCAGACACCTCGACCTTTCACTCAACATTGTCACTGGCTTTGTGTGGCCTTCGATGTAAGTCAGAAGAACAGTCTGAAACCCAATACAGTCCCGTAGTGTTGCTCATTCGCACCAATTTCTTCGTGGCAGCTGACCGTAACTTATTCGCACTCAACTTCTAACGCAGGTATCCTCACTAATCACAATTTGGGGACACTCCCGGTAGTACACAGCTCAGCCTATCCAATGATGCTCATGCATCCAGTTTAACTGGCGACACTTATGAAGTGCAGCGTATCCATATAAAGTGTCTGAGGGTTTACGTGAAAAAGATTATTCAATACTAACAAGCAACAGAAAAACACTGCTGGAAACGCGTTACCTTTATATTCCGTTCCAGTTCGGATATATGATTTTGCAGAAAAACACGATCCTCTTCTGCCTCGACCAGTTGACGTTCCAACTTCGACTGAGTTGTTCGAGCGGCTGCTTCAGTTTTTACCAGATCGTCCTTCAGTTGTGCAATTTCTTCCATTAATACAGCTGGGTCTGTATGACCAGCATCAATGCTAGTGCACAGGGAAGACTGGAAACCGGCAAATTGAAACGGGATTTCAGACAGTCGAGGCAAGACGTTTACCTAAGTGGCCTCGAATCCAATAAATGGAGTCCAATGACCTACAAAACTCTTTCATATATTTTAGCTCTGCAAATTTACACGAAACTATAAGTTATCCAGTATTGGCAATAGTACCATAAAAGTTTGAGACGGAGGGAGAAAACAAAAAACATTTCTGAACTTGTACTACTACTTCAGCACGAAAATATGAAACGAGGATAACAACGATGAGATTTTATTTACTTATTTTATTTAAGGTCTGAACATCAAAAGTTACAAACACCCCGCAATACAGTAAGCGAACTAAGCGAGTTATAATCAGAAAGATTAGCATTGGACAAAACTGTGCGGAATCAAATTCAGACACTGGGTTATTCCGAATAGCACTCGAAATTCTTTATCGACTACCAAATAGGTGTACATGTGAAAGTATAAATGTTTTCTTTTATAATTGTTATTTCTCAAAGTTTTATTATGAGAATTACTTACAAGCTCATGCTTCTATGGCCTCCGTAGGATATTTATACCATTGAAACGTTTCTCGGCGAAAAAAATGATAAAATGTCACATAGAATTCCGTTTAGGAGATAACAGATAATGTAATCTTCAATGAAATTGCTTTTTTTAATAGTGTGGGAATGTCAGACATGCCAGGGTTTCATCAAGTCTCCGCCTGAAAGATTCACTAGTTGGTGTACAAACGACATGAGATGAAAGGGTGTTTCAAGTATTGCATACTCTGACTGCAGAAGATTGACGCCGGCATTTCAATGGACACTTTGGAATCAGTAACTTGAAACGGTGTTCCCTAACGTGTGTGTAGAGTGAGCAGCGG